ACGGCTCGGCCATTTCTGAGCTGTTTGGGAGCACGGCTCAGCTTTTCCCGGCTCTGACAGGACACGGCTCAGGTCTCTCCGAGGACTCCCGAAGACTCCCGAGGACTCCGACTCCGAGCACTTTCGCCTGGCTTTTGAGAGGACACGGCTCAGGTCTCTCCGAGGACTCCCGGACTTCCGAGGACTTTGGCCTGGCTTTTGAGAGGACACGGCTCAGGTCTCTCCGAGGACTCCCGAGGACTCCCGAGGACTTTCGAGGACTTCCGAGCATTTTGGCCTGGCTTCTAAAAGGACACGGCTCAGGTCTCTCCGAGGACTCCCGAGCACTCCCGAGGACTTCCGAGGACTTCCGAGGACTCTGGCCTGGCTTCTAAAAGGACACGGCTCAGGTCTCTCCGAGGACTCCCAAAAACTCCCGAGGACTTCCGAGGACTTCCGAGGACTTCCGAGGACTTCCGAGCACTTGCGAGGATTCCCAATAATTTGGTGGCATCTGGGGTTGTTTTGCTTCTTCTAGGTCTAGGTCTGACTAGGCGAGCTTAACTGGGGTGCCCAACTCGGGCCAACTAACTGGTGCACGCATCCTCCAAACCCGAAAAATCGTGTAACCAGGCCCTGGTTACACTATATTTTCCGGGCCCATGGCCGCCGTTAATTCAAGAAATGCGGCAGTCTACGTGTCCGTTGGACCACGCAACCTCAAAAATAGTGATCTTGGAAGGATGGCTCTGTGTATGATTCTGCCTATAATGCATCGAAGGTAGCAATGACGCCATTCGTTTTCTTTTTCAACGGTTTTAGGGTGTAGGGTCTATAGGCTAGGTGTAGGACGCCATTCGTTTTCCTTTTCAACGGTTTTACGGTGTAGGGTCTGGGAAATGGGTCAACATCGGCAGTGCGTCGCGCATTGCAGATGTTCGCCCATTTCCCAGACCCAAGAACGTCCAGCAACACACTAATCTATATAGGGTTTAGGGGTTTCGAGATTCAAGGCTCAGGGTTAAGGTTTATACACTTTAGGGGTTTATAGGGTTTCTGAAGCGATTTTGAATAAGCACCCGCCTTGAGGGTTATCACTTTGGTGACCTTTGGGGTTCTTTGAAGGCAAGCTTCTGGAGCAACGGTTGAAGAGCCAAGCAAGCGCTTGTTATGATTACCGTTGCTAAAATGATCTACGAAGTCCATGTTTCCAGGACATGTCCCATAGCTTGCATGTGCCAGCGGCTACATGCGGCAATTTCTGACTTATGATTGTTGCAGTTGAGTCGCGGGAGTGCTAACATGAACATATTTTTGTTGGTGGACTTTGGTGTTCGCGTGTGCCCAGAGGTTACGCGTTCGTGACATGCGCCAGTTTGACGAAGGATTTCTAGTTTCATATGAATCATAATATGACTTTCCCCTGCTTTCCCAGGTCCCTAGATTGATTCACACAAGCGTACCGAGACCATTTTTCTCAAATCAAATAATAGATTTGCCGGCTTCACGCGAAAGAAGCTTTATCCCAGATCCCAAGAGCCCAGCCGAGAGAGTCTTAATCCTTCCGAGACTGTAGACTAGGAATTAGGTTTATGGCTTGATTGCTCCACACATTATCTTGAGCGCTTGTAGCGATTAAGCTATGTACATTGCGTTGCACGGCGCGATTTGGACAGCATTGCAATATCCAGTAACATGCGTGATTCTTGAAACTGCGACGTGTGTGCTCCTGCGCTTGAATATCATTGCCTTTGCTGAATTTCAGCATTTGGCTTGAGCTGCGGTTGTCGTACAAGGTTTTCCAGTGACAGTGCGTTCCTTGCGCGGTGCCAGCTTTGCTGTTCCGTCCTCACGGACTGCAGCAATGTCGGACAATGGTGCTGATCCAGCAGCCATGGCAGCTCTTGCCGTGGCCTCTGCTCCGCCCAGCCCCGTTTCAAAGATGTGCGAGCAGTGCGGACAAGCGCCTGGACAAGTCGACAGGTTCTTGTTGCCCCAGCAGGTCCCGCTGAAGTGGGCCCGGATGCGCGCAAATCCTGCCACAGGAGTCAAGGAACCTGAGGGTAACGAGTGCTTCGGCTGCGAGGCGGCAGTCTGCAAACATTCACACTTTGCATGCGCATGCCTCAACCCAAGTTAGTTGAACATGGCATATGACATATGTTGTAAGCAAGGTATGGCGCAGCAGATTTTACGAACATGTTTTGACATTATACGGCCCGAGGCTATAGGCTATAGATTGTACTTGCCTCCTGCCAGAAGACGCGTGTCAACAAGTTTGCGAGAATGTCGCCGGGTGCGCTGCTGCAAGCTCGCACAAATGAGGACACGTCAGTGTTTGCTGCGATGTACGTTTTGAGCTTCTTTCAGTTCACAAGATTTCTTTGCAGTTTTGCTGGCACTTCTCCTGTGCAGGAGGTGGAAGACACGTGGCAGCGGCTACGAATGGAATGCGGGGTCCCAGGGGCTCGCGTTCGGGTGGAATCTGTCGACGTACGTTCTATGCTTCGACAACAAGCGTATGTCGATAAGTATCAGGAGGGGGAGTGGGTTCCTCTCAGGCTCTACTTAGTAGAGGAGATGAATGTCCCGCCGCACCTCGTGGAGACACAGCAGAAGCAAATGGAGTTCTGCCAGAACGCTCCATGGCATGAGATTCATTTTGGATAGAGTAATGGATTTGGAGCTTACGGTAGTCGGAAGATTGCTTGACTTTCGCTTTTACTGTTACTTCGTGGGGTGGGTGAGAATCAGGCGGGTGTGTAATATGAGTAATATAAGATATATCAGGGGCGGTACTATTCACTTCATGTAGCAATTGCGTGTTCCGTGTTCCACATGTGGTCGGACGGAGCAAAGAGGAACACGTTGACAACGTGTATATGCCCCCCCCCCCCCACACGTTATATGATGCAGTATACAAACCCAACGGCCCGAAGTTGCCCGTAAGCCCTAAAGCCTAGCCTCTAAGTTTCAAATCTTAAGCAATTGTTAGTAACACTGTTCTGCCTATCACAAGTAGGAAATAGGATTGATCATGCGTGCGAGCTTGACCGTCGTGGTATTCCGGTATTCCAATTGTCCCTCTGCCCTCGTCCAGCGGTAGATGTTGTCTCAGGTGTGCAAGCAAAAGATCCACTGGGACGGTGGCGAGCCAGGGGTGCTGGTCTTCAAGAATGGTGGCCGCAAAAAAGTGCGTGTTGGGTACAGAACGGCAGCGGAGAAACAGCAGGCCATAGTTCAACCAACTGCAACAGGGGTGTGGCGCTCATGTGGCCTTAGTTAAAATGGTGCATCTCCACATCATGTATATAAATAAGTGTTTGCCCAGCGCAGGAAGATGTGCACCTGCAGGGTGACACCGACGCAATCAGCGCCAAATATGGGGAGCGTGCTGCACCAATGGTGGGTGTGGCAGCGGGTGCTCGAGATGAGGGCCAGGCGCAAGATGCCGTCAACCACTACTTGAGGCAGCTCACGCCAGCATCTGTGGAAGATCAGCCCTCTGAAACCATGTCAGAGGCGGACTCTTCGCAGCAGCCTGTGAAAAGCTTGGAGTTCAATGTGTTTGATGAAGCCCCGGCCAACAGCCCGCCGAAGAAAAGAAGGCAAGGACATGCCACGAACGGGCAACCTTCACTTCCAAGTGCTCCTCCTTCTGAGGCAGAGCCCGGTGCTGAAGGTGATCTCAAGAAGAAAGGCAAGGGCAACGGCAAGGCTGCGCAAGCCTCATGGCTTGTTAATGCTACTGCCAGGCCTGCGACCAAGCGTGGCGGCGGGAAAGGCAAAGATCCAGCTGTGGGAGCTGACTTGGCCAAAGCGCGGGAGTTGCTGTCCAGTATGGAAGCCAAGTACTCAGATGCATGTCTTTGGGAGGCACGACCGAAAAAGAAAGCGTTGGAGAAGGACGGCAAGTTGCTCGGTGACTTAGCCAACAAGTTGCTGTTGACCGGCCACGAGGATGATGTTGAGATGAGCAAAACCTTGAACGATTTCTTCACGAGCGTGGAGGAGAAGAATGAGCTCTTGACCAGCGCGAGCAAGTCACCCCTGAGCTACGTTCAGTCGCCTATGGACGAGCACGCCATGAACTTGTTCTTGTCCATGGAGCCCACTGTTCTCAACAACATCATTGTCTTTGCAGCAACCGAGTGTTTGAAAAACATCGATCAGGAGCCAGTAGCCACTAGCATACTTAAGTTACTTAAGTGACTTATGCCCGCAACAAGATCCCCGTTGACAGTTCCCACCAGGAAGCTAAGTTGGACGAATGCACGAAGCTGTTCTTCCGCGTGTGTGGCAGCAGCTCCGAGCAGATTTTGTCTGTGAGGATGATTCAGCTGCAACAGGAAAATTATTTGGGAGGCGCGGCAGGGTCCTCACCAGCGCAAGCGTCAGCGGCTGCAGCGTTGCAGCAAATCATTTTCGGAATGTGGCTTGACAAAATCTGCCGCTCGCGGCTGTCGGACAAGTTCAAGCATTTCTTGAGTGCGCGCCGGGCCAAGTTGCTGGAATTGCCACACGCTGTGTAACATGAATCTGTATAAGTAGCAGTTGCCGCTGTGTTGCATTTCATATTGTAAGTTACGTTGTGCCGCAGCCAGTTAATGTTATAGTTAAAGTTATAGTCATAAGTTCTCACTCATTACTACTCACTACTTACTACTAGTCAGTTCTTCTTCAGTTATAGTCTAGTTATTAGTTAGTGTTGTTTATTCCGTTATATCCAGGTGCCCTGTTGCCAACCTGGACATTTCCAAGCTGTCTGCCATGTGGAAACCACCCACTTCGGACATTGGCCCAGGGTCGGGCGAATTCTCTTCGCTAGTTCGTTTTGATGTCCAAGTCCTCAAGACGATGCTCATTGACTGGTCGAAGGCGAGCTGGCGTGATGGTTTCAGATGTTGGGCTTCTTTTTTTTTTGTGAGAAAACTTAAAGTAAATGCTTGATGTTTCAACTGTAAGCTTGAAATTTCAGAGAATGTAGAGCTGATTTGTCGTGTACGGTTGCAGCAGGCGACACCTCTGGAGCTGTACCTCGCAAAGACGTGTGTTGATCTCAAGGCTTCCATGTCAGTGCGACTGGCTTCTCTGCTGCGGTCCAGCACAGGGGTTTCCAGGACTGGCTGAAATGCTGCGCCCCAGTAAGGGCTTGTATACACACTGTACAGGGTAGCCTGTGTAGCTGAGATGTCAAGAATATAATGTACTTTAAATGCGGCTTCGAGTCTAGGGCTTAGGGTTGAAGACTTAGGTAGGTTCATCAGTTTAACCATGAACTCAACTCCCGCTTGTTGTTGTTGTTGTTGTTGTTGTTGTTGTTTCTCGCAGGGCGCTTTGGACGGCTTTAGAGGGGGCCGGCAAGCGTGCCGTGACACCTGCGTTCTTGACCCTGAACATCCAGCAATCGTGCGAAGCGTTGCCGGAGAGTTTGATCCAATCAGTGGAGGCGGAGCAGAGCGTGGCATCTCTACGTCTTCTGCTGCGAGAGGAACTTGGGCGTGAATTAGGGTCATGGGTATCTGGCTGCCTCTGTAAGCGCGAATTTTCAAGGGGACGCTGTGCAAAGGATGTGTTTTCATATAGCCATATAGCATATTGGTGACAATCAACTGACACCGAGCTCGACTATGCTTAGGACAACTGGAGATTGGTTAGCCCGATGATCGACGCTTTTGCGTCCGTGGAGTCTCTTCCACAAGCATCAGCCCTTTCGGAGGTGCACACGGAGCTGCTGCGCAGAACGTACCGAACGACCGCCGCTTGACAAGTTTCGGCCAACATTTTGTTTGCTGTCAGTTGAAATTTTGCGGATGAAATTTCGACCTGCGGCCGACATGTCCCATGTGCAGGTCGGGCAATACTTCATTACGTAGCGCGTAGACATGTTCGGAATCTGCAAGTGACAGCGTGAGTCTCGGTCACTGCGCGCACGCGTTGCCCGAGCACGTTGTGTGTGCGCTGCGCGTGTCATTGCGTGCGCGCTGCGTGTGCGTGGCGCTGCGTCTATGCCTTGCACGTGCGCTGCGTGGGTGTTGTGTGAGCGTGGCACGCACGTGCGTCTGTGCGCGCATGCAGCATGTCGATATATGCTGCCTACATGTTCCACTCACTGCTACCCGCTTTAGGGTTTAGGGTTTAGGGTCTAGGGCGAGGTTGGTGATTGTTATGGGGATAATTGGGGATAATGTATTGCGAGCCCAAACAGCCATCCGAAAAGACCAGGCGAGTTTGGTGAAGGGCTACGGTTGCGCAGTTGTGGAGCTCCTGAACAATGCTCCCTCAGAGGACATGTGGACAACTAGCAATCCTCAGTTGCTGGCAGCTGACTCCGATGTGCCCACAGCAGCTGAGTGTTCAAACTTAGCAGGCTGGCTGCGGCACTTTTCAGTTGCTGGTCTGGATTAGTAAGCGTCTCATTACAATGACAATATAACATTACGGTTCGGGGTGTAGGTGTTAGACGGAAAGGGGCCATCATCAAGATTATGTTCAACATCATTTTTTTCTGATTTCTACTGTCGTAGATCCACCTCCATCCACATATTCCAGGTGGTGGATGAGAAGTGCGAGGGCATGCTGAAGTTCAGCTCTGTGCTGGCAGACCTCCATTCCACGTTGTGTCTGGTGCGCGATACGACCGCAAACCTCACCATTGATAGTTGGTTGGCAGCAGGGCGTGCTATTTCCAAACTCTCAGAGTCCATGATTGTGGGTGAACTGGAGCAAGCGTGCAACAATCGCAGTCTGCCAGGCAGGCGCTGTTGGTGTCTGTAGCTTGAGTGAAGACCCCTAACATTGTTGATACCTATCATTCAAGGGTGTTCAGTCGTAGTATAGGTCGCGCTTAAGGGCCTGGGGTACGGGTTTAGGAATTTGCTATAGCCTATAACGCCTATATAGTGTATAGCCTTATAATTTAGAACTTATAGGCTATAGTTTCTAGCTTATAACTTATTATTTAGAAGTTATAAATTCTGAAGTCCAAGTGTTGTTGTCGCCCATCAGATGCTATCGCCGTCGTGGCCAACAAGCTTGTCGTGTGCTCCCGCTGCGCGCACAAGCATGGCCAGGACGAGACATGGTTGTTTGCTTTGTTGGAGAAGGGCCAGATCGAAGACATCATGAAAGCTGACGTGATGAAGACTCAGTTCCTGAGCTCCCAGGCACAAGCTACACTCCGTGGTTTGAAGGCGATGGACAAGCTGAAATCGGAGGACTGCGCAAATTTCATGAATGGGCCTGAGGACAAGGAGACAGTGCGTCAACTGGCGCAATTCATCGTCCAGAGCTATGCTGTGAAGGACGCTGTTATGGAGGTTGCTGGCCTCAGCTCCTTGAAAGACAAGGTTGAGACATTGCGTGCCAGCTTGTGCTCCACCTTGCAGAGCATGCTCACCAGGATCCAGGCGGTGCGTGCGCCGGTGCAGGTCTTCTGGGACAAACATGCAGCTGTTCGTGATGGTCTGCATACGATGCAATCTTCGGTCCTTGCGGAGGCTAAGGAGAATGCAACGAACGAGGCCTTCAGAAACGACGTGCAACACATGACCGAATGCTGCTTGCACGAAGTGATTGCTGTGTAGGAGCCTCGCAGAGTAAACTCGTTTTTTTGGTTCAGCTTACGCACTGAGTTCCAACCCCCTGATGTAGACTCTGTAGACGTACCAATACCTGTGAATACCAGTTTCTGCAATTAGGTCATTCTATATGTCTCCCAGAAGTCCATAAGCCATCCTCAACCTTCGATTGTCGTGAGTAGACAGTATACAACCTGAACCTAGCAAATCCATCCTCGCACCCCAAATCCGTAAACCTGCCCAGGTCTTGCCAAATTCTTCTTGGCTGGTGACATTTTGCGGGAGGTGCTGCCCTACGCGGGTGATTTCGCAAAAAACCAAGATGTCACCGATGGCATTACCAAGCTCAAGGAGGCGCTCACCACAGAGCCCACAGCGCAGCAGCTTGGGCACCTCGTTGCCTGCCTGATGGCAGCGGAGCTTCTCGCAGTCCCCGCCGGGAAGGACTTTCAGACTCAGGTCCAGTCCTTTTACAAGTACGCTTCTACGGTGCTACGCACCATGAAAAAGGACCTCCCCCAAAAGGCGACGGAGAAGCTGGAGCGGTTGATCAAGGCCCTGTGTGCTTCTACGGACGTGGCTAAGTTGAACACCCTAAGCCTAAACCCAAAATGCCTTTTGTCTGAGCATTGCTGGAATTGGTAATGTAATGGGCAATAGCTGGGTAATACGTGGTCATGGGCACATATTGACATACTGCCCTAAGCCCTATACATTATAGGCGGGTGTAGGGTTTTGGGTAGTAGGGATAGGATGTGTGGTCGACTTTCGTCGGGAGGATGCGAAGAAGCAGTCAGAGGCATCGTCGGCAAAGCCAGATGAGAAGGCCAAGGAGCCCGGAGAAGCCGATGATGATGACAAGTCCGCCACCGACGCGGTCGATCCCAACATGGCGCCCCCGGCTGTCCTGCCAGCGCCTAAAAGGCGTCGCACGATCAAGTCCTGAGATGCCTAAACGGCAGCCAGTGGACTGTCCATTCCTGAGTTTTGGATGTTGCAGCCATTTCCGCGAGTCACGTAGCGAGGTGTATGCAGACAACTGTAGGGTGGTAGAGACCTTATAATATCAAGGGTACATAATTCTAGAATCATATTTAACGTTTAGGGTAATGGTGCCATGTTTTCATCGTACAGTCCAGGTGTACGGTATCACCAAGAGTCATGACGGACCCAGTCCTCGAATAGGTTTCTAGATTTATAGTCCTAGGGATCCAAATAGCCAAAAGGTGACATTTACGGATTGAAGTGTCCAATGTAACAAATAATAGTCTATTTGGATCCCTAGCGAAAGGTATAGCTTATAACATAGCATTACTCTCAAGACTTGTAGACTTGTAGAAAACTATGACAGTGGATTGGCAACATGCGATGTCCCTTTCGGGAATAAACTTAATCGCCTATGCACTGTATCCAAAGGCAAAGCGTGATAAATTCCTGGCAAGACGCCGGGCGTGTATATAGCATGACTTCACACCCGTGCTCAGGTCATCTTCGTTTTAATACAATTGGTTGATCAATCAAGTCTAATCTAGTCGAGCGTAGTCCGGTTCACCAACAGTCGTTGCTCGGGCCTGCTGTGGGGAACTTCACGTGCGCTAG